AATCCCAAGTATGTAATTTTGTTCCTTCATATATTAAGAATCCATCTCTAAAATATGAGCATTTTCTTACATACCACAAAACTGACAGTTTATTGCTAAAATCTATTTCCAGGTCTATAACCAAATTTATTTGGTTATAGAAGAATGTCTATAACCTCAAAAATGTCTTTCATAGTTGGTTTGTTCAAATCAGAATCTAATTAAGATCTATACAATTATTAGATGTTTTTAAACCCAGGGCACTGCTAGTTTCTTTTCCTCTCCTGTCTTCTTTTTCGTTTTTTCCTTTTAAAAAATTACATCATTGACTTGTAGATTCCTTTTCCTGTAAAATGTCTAAAGATTTCATAATACAACTCTTAAAAAAATAGCCCAGCTGGTGTGGCTCTGTGGTTGAGCATCGACCTATAAACCAGGAAGTCACAGTTTGATTCCCGTCAGGGCACATTCCCAGGGTTATGGGCTCAATCCCCAGTAAGGGTCATGCAGGAGGCTGCCAATCAATTATTCTCACTTATTGATGTTTTCATTTTTTAAAAATATATTTTATTGATTTTTTTACAGACAGGAAGGGAGAGGGATAGAGAGTTAGAAACATCAATCAGCTGCCTCCTGCACACCCCCTACTGGGGATGTGCCTGCAACCAAGGTACATGTTTTTGACCAGAATCGAACCTAGGACTCTTCAGTCCGCAGAGCATTGGCCTATCCAGAGCCAAACTGGTTAGGGCATATTGATGTTTTTTATCTCTCTCCTCTCCCTTCCTCTCCAAAGTCAATAAAACATATATATATTTTTTTTTAAAGGAAAAAATATGGGGTTTGAGCCTTACTTTCCAGTAAGTTAGACCATCTCTCTGGAATGTTCTTTCAAGTGTCTGGCATACAACACAGTCCAGTGAACCATAAGCATTCACCACACTTGGCACATACATGCAATCTGTTCAATAAGAATGCTTGTGCTTAATGTTTTGATTTTATCATTGTCTTCTCAGGTCCTGGCCTGCTCACTCACTGTGAATTGTCTACTATTATTAAATTAACATAATCTGAAAATAGCACAGTTTCTCAAATGTTTTTAAAAACAATGAAGATAATGCTTTGATTTGCTAACCTCAGAAATTAGAAAATTAAAAAAAGTTGAACTGGAGATAGCATCAGTCAAAGCCAAATTTGGTTCCACTTTAAGGATGTGCAGAAGAAGCAGTGACCTAACAATGCCTGTCTTTTTCACCTCAATGTCTGCCTCTGAGAAGGAAGGACTTTGATTTCTTTGCTATCATCAGCCTCTTTTGCCAGCGGAGCCAAGTCTAATCACCTGCGGTAACTAGCGTTAGATCACTAGTTCTTTTTGCTTTGTTGTTTCAACAGTTATCGTGCATGAATATTGCCAATGTAAAGTAAAAGGATTTTAAAATAACCATCTCCTGTTAATCCTTTTGAATTATTCATTAGTTGGATTCAAATGCAGGTGTAATTCCAAATCCAGCATAAACCATATTTACATTGATATCTAATCTTACTTCATTTATACAAAAAAATTGAATCTGTGCTCCCACATTCTAGACTTAATCCTGGCTCTGCCACTTACAGAAACCATTTAATTTTTCTGAGCCATAGTTTTTTTCCTGTAAGATGGACATATCCTACTTAATTTATATAGACATAGGGATAATAGATGAGACTGATTTTAAAATGTAGCTTGAGTAAATTTGGCTGTCTATTAGATCAGGCCCTAAAGTAGGAAACATTTGACAGAAACATACTTGATTTTTAGATAAAAGTGACAAGGGGTTGGGAGCCAGGATCCTTGGACCCTCAAGCTAATATGGCTTCAGCTGTCCTCTCTTAGTCCCTATAGCACAATGGTTCTCAACCTTGGCTGCACATTAGAATCACCTGGGAATCTTTAAAATCCTGATTTCTGGGCCTCATCCTCCGGAAATTCTGTTTCTTTGTTACCAATGTTGTGGCCTCACCCCATAACAAAGAAACAGAATTTCCGGAGGATGGGGCCCAGAAATCAGGATTTTAAGAAGATTCCCAGGTGATCTAATGTGCAGCCAAGGTTGAGAACCACTGCTATAACAGAGGAGTGTACAGCAGAGTAGACCAGAAAGATACTAGCCATAGATACGGGCTGGAGCCTCAAGGCAAGGTCTGAGATGAATCGGCCTAAAATGGGAAGAGCTAGAAGAGATTTGAGGAGTTATCTAGTACAATCTCCCAGCCATTTGAGAGTATGCTGCCATGTACCATAATTTATTTATCCACTCCCCTAGTGGTTGACATTTAGGTTGTGCCCCAGTCGTGCCCTTTACAAATTTTATGTGACTTTTTTGGGTACATATATCTTTAGGCTCATTTAGGGATATTTCAGTACTCTAGATTTCAACAAGTGGAATTACTGGGTCACAGAAACATGTAAAATGCTAAGTCTTTCCAATCTGCCATCCCCCAAACCTGTGTGCTTGTACCAAGTATATGGACATGGACTAACACAGGATGTTATCAGTCTTTTGTATATATTGTGACATCACAATAAGTCTGGTTAACATCCGTCACCACACATAGTCACAAATTTTTATGCTATTTTTAAAACGCTTTAAATCAAAGAGATTTTTAATTGTATCTCTTTTTTATTTTATCTTAATTTTAACATTTATAAAGAACTTTGGCATCTCCCTTGTTTATCCTAGCTTCTACCTCTTGGTGGGAAAAGGGTTTTCTCTGGGAATTGCCATTCTGGCCTCCAGGGGGCACTGTTTCCCTTTAAATGTTGTGGAACAAGTATTACAGATAATGACCCCAGAAAGTATTTAAACAAAAGTTTACAAAGGGCTCCAGATGAACAGAAGGCAAATGAGTACAGGGAGTAATATACAACTATATAATGTGGTTCACTAAATGCGGTATAGGCATTTCAGCGTTTGACACCATAAAATGATTCCTCCCTACCTTGCTTCCCACTGCATACACTAAGCACAAGCCATTTTTTTCTCTTCCTGCACTATGGACTCAAGCAAACAAAATTCTTCAAAAATTAGCCCCCAAGCCCTGACCGGGTTGGCTCAGTGGATAGAGTGTCGGGCCGGGCCATGGACTGAAAGGTCCCAGGTTCGATTCCGGTTGAGGGCATGTACCTTGGTTGCAGGCTCGATCCCCAGTAGGGGGCATGCAGGAGGCAGCTGATTGATGTTTCTCTCTCGTGGATGTTTCTAACTCTCTAACCCTCTCCCTTCCTCTCTGTAAAAAGTCAATAAAAATATATTTTTTAAAAAATTAGCCCCCAAATTGATAAGGCTAGTTCAGCTAAGGGTTTCCTTCCAAATTCTAGTTTCCAATCTCATTGTCTGCCTCTTTCCTAGATACTAGACCAGGGGTGGGCAAACTTTTTGACTCGAGGGCCACAATGGGTTCTTAAACTGGAGGTTGTAGCTTTAACTTGTTGGAAGAGACTTATCTATGGGTCTCTCAGGCCCCTCCATGTCATGCTCAGTATGCCAAGGGTATGGTCTTTTTTTTTTTAGTTTTATTCATTTCAAACGGGCCATAGTTTCCCCACGGCTGTACTAGACCCTAAGCATGTCAGTCCTCTTCTAGGAAGATGGCATTGCCTACCCCTTTAACAGAGGTTGTAGCTTGTTGGAAGAGACTTATCTATGGGTCTCTCAGGCCCCTCCATGTCATGCTCAGTATGCCAAGCAAGCAAAGCCCTGGCCACTTGTATTATCTATTATCGCATAACAGATTACTCCAAAACAAAGGCTTAAAACAACAAACATTTATTTTCTGACAGTGTTGAACCCTCAAGCTACTGTGGCTTCAGCAGTCCTCTCTTAGTCCCTATAACAGGTAAGTGTACAGCAGAGTAGACCAGAAAGACACTAGCCATAGATATGGGCTGGAGCTATCTTCCCCAGAGTGTGCGAGGGAGAGGGTGCCCAAGACAGAAGCCATGGTCTTTTTATAACCTCATTCAGAAGCAAAATCTTTAATTGAAGGAGTGAATGCCCGAAGGCAGGAACCATTATGGGCCATATTGGAGGCTTTTTACCACATCACTCTATTTAAGACATTTGTCATGGTTGTGTTGGCAGCAAACAATCTTGAGGGACGAAGTAACATCTCCCTCTGGGACAGGGCAGGCTTAGCTTTCCGCCTGCTTGAAAAGTAGTGGGTTCCCCCAAACTCATTGTTTTCCCACTGCACACCTGGCATCTATTCAGCCCTTTTTCGTCACCCCCATGGACCTTGGGGGCAAGAGGGGTTGATGCAAGCATTCTGATGTGCATGCTTTTTATGCTGTGAGTAAAACAAATCTTTTTCTCTGACTCATATTGTCTCTTGTCTTCTTTCAGCATCTGTGAAAAAGTAACAGGCTAACTTCTTGGCTTGTAAGTAGGAAAAAAAATCAATTAGGAGACCTGAATGTTTGACCCAACAGAGAAACCTAATCAGAATTGTATACAGGCCTTTGAGACCAACATTCACATAAGAGATCCATGTACACATTATTCATTTTTGACAAATATGTATGTGTCAGGTATTATTCTAAGAGTTTATGGGTATAAACTCAGTTAATCCATGAGGTAAACACTACTAAAAATCCCTATTTTACAGATGAGGAAGAAGAGACACAAAGATGGTAAGGAAATTGATTTAAGCCATGCATCTCATAAGTGTCAAAGCCTCATATTCAAGCAGACACAAACATAAACAACCTGCCTACAGTATCCATTGATCCACTATATCATGCTGTGTTAAGGGTTGAGGAGGGGTGGGGCAGAAGGAAGATAGGGAGAAATGACAAAATACAGAGCTAATTCCTCAAAACATTAGTTGAAATCTTTTATTTCTAATACTGTGATGTTTTAGTTTTTGTTGTTTCATTGCATATCTGAAGGATAAACTACCAATCACATTGATAAATACTTTGATTTGGTGTGCTGTATTTGGCTTGTTAGGATGCAATTTTTAAAATGTGCTCTAATATTCAGGTAAAAATGCATTGGCACATAAAAACCTGCACATGGAGTTTATAGCAGCTTTATTCGTAAGTGCCAAAACTTGGAAGCAACCATGATGTCCCTCATTAGGTGAATGGATGAACTGTGATACCAAGGAAGATTATTCAGTGCTAAAAAGAAATGAGCTATTAAGCCATGAAAAGGTAAGGGGAGTCTTAAATGCATATTATTATTGGGAGTTCATCTGAAAAGGTTATATATACTGTATGATTCCAATTATGTGACATTCTAGAAAAGGCAAAACTTTGGATACAGTAAAAAGATATGGTTACCAGGGGTTAGAAGGAAGGGAGGGATGAACAGGCAGAGGAGTTTTAGGGGAGTGAAACTATTCTGTCTGGTGCTATAATGGTGGATGCATGTCATTATACATTTATCCAAACCCATAAAACATACGCCAGTGAACCCTAATGTAGACTATGGTCTTTGGGTGATAATGATGTATCAATGTAGATTCACTAATTGTAACAGATATACCACTATGATGGGAGATGTCAGTAGTAGGGGAGGTTGTGTATGTGTGGGAAGAAGGGTATGTGGGAACTCTGTGAACCTAAAAATGCTGTAAAAAAAATGTACTTTTAACATGCTTTGAAAATTACAATATACTTTAAAATGTAAAATATTATAATAGTGTATGTAGTAAGTTTTTGTTAACCTCATTTTATAACTGTTTAAGTCCCCCGTGCCCTTGACCTTGACTTTCTGCCTGTTACCTCCTCCTTTCCTTACCAAGTGTAAATGTCATGGCCTTCACTCAAGCCGTCTTCCTCAGCTTTATTGTCATTTTCTTGAGCCTTCACAACCCAGCTTCAGTCCAGCTGACTGCCTCCGCCATGGCTATACCAGGGCTGCAGAGCTTTGCTGGGGAAAAATCACAATGGTGAAGTTGATGTCTACTATGTGACCTGCAGCCTAATACATCAGCGCATCCCTCCGTGTGTCCTGCAACTGTGTTCTCAGATCAGAGTTTTCTACTTCAAACATATATCAGTAAGTTTTAACTGTAGTTTTCTGTTTTTGATATTGTACTATTTTGAATAAATATGTTCAAAGTTTTGTGCCATTTCTTCTTTTTTTTGTAACTTGTGATATTTATTTTAAATCACGTGACTTTAGTGCCATTTCTTCTTATTCTACAGATGCAGTCATGTGCTGCTTAACACAAGGATGCATTCTGAGAAATGTGTTGTTAGGTCATTTCATTGTTGTGTGAGTCTCGCAGAGCGCACTTACACAAGCCTAGATGGTATGGTCCACTATTATGATTGGATGTGCTATGCTTTTATACGACTGGCAGCGAAGTAGGTTTGCTTACATGAGCATCACCACAACGGCTATTGTATCACTAGGTGATAATTATGGGCACCAACCCCATTATGATCTTATGGGATCTCCATGGTATATGTGGTCCATTGTTGACTGAAATGTAGTCATTTGGCACATGACTGTAGTTAACTTATTGTATATATAAAAAATTGGGTTCACATTATTAATTAAGCTGTTTTTGATTAAAATAACTAACAAAATCTGGCTACTAATTATGTAGAACTATGGCAGATAAGCATATCTATCAAGGAAGTGCTTATGCATTAGCAAAGAGGGAAGGGGAAAATAACGTGGTTTGATATATTTAGAGTTGCTTTAGTTATTGGTTAGACAGGTCTCTTTAAGAAGAGTCTGTGAAAAAGTTGAGTCATATTCCCTTCTCTGATGTGCTTCAGTGCCCTAGAATAAGCCTCCCTTGTTCAAAATTAGGGCACCTCTTCACTCAAGGAGCTCAATCAAAATCCAGTCCAGTCCACCCAGGCTTCTCTTTTTGCACGGCTGTGGGCTGCTCCCTGGGTCAGTATTGATCCCTAGGGCCTCAAACTGGCGGCCCCTGGGGCAGATTCACCTGATAGATGTGGCTTCTTTGGCCTGTACAGTATTTTAAGAAAATTTGAATCTGTTCCTAGCATTTTGAAATTATGCCTTCACATGAAGATGTATATTGTCGGCGTGTATTGAAAAATCAATATACCTGGCCACATCGGGCCCATGATCTTACATAGCAACGGTCAGCTGGTAGCTGCTGTCAGCCGTTCCCTTTAGAGAGGGCAGGCGGCTCCTGCCACTCACGAAGACTGATTGTCAGTTGCCATTTATCATCTTGCTTTCACCCAGTGGTTCTCAACCTTCTGGCCCTTTAAATACAGTTCCTCATGTTGTGACCCAACCATAAAATTATTTTCGTTGCTACTTCATAACTGTAATGTTGCTACTGTTATGAATCGTAATGTAAATATCTGATATGCAGGATGGTCTTAGGCGACCCCTGTGAAAGGGTCGTTCGACCACCAAAGGGGTCACGACCCACAGGTTGAGAACCGCTGCTTTCACCTCTTCTGACACTTGGCATCTGTGGTGCCTCCCAGGTACTTTGGGCATTTGAGTTGGTAAACTCTCTACACCTGGTCTTCGATGCCTTTCACCCAGCACCACCCATTGACACTGGGTGCTCTGTGGGGCTCTAGAAAGATCATAGGCTTCAAATCAAATGGACTCAGCTCTGCCACTTCCTGCCGTGTGGCCTGGGTAGGGTTATTTATCTCTTTGAACTTGCGTTTCTTTATCTGTGAAATGGGAATAATGATGGCATGGGGTGTTTGTTTGTTTGTTTGTTTGTTTTTTAGAGAGACAGAGAGAGGGGGAGCGAGACAGAGAGAAAGAGATAGAGAGAAAATTAAAGGCAATAATATAAATAATATGCTTCTGATGGAGCCGAGAGGAGGCAGGAAGCACTGGATGAGTGTGGCCTGCCTCCACCACCAACCTCTGTCCACACCACTCAGGGAGATGACAAGACCACTCCTGTTAAGGCATTGTCAACTCATAACTTTGTATGATACTCTCAGATGTCTAGACACAAATAAGAAAGTCATAAGAAACTAAATAGTACTTAAATAAAATGTATTTCTTATAATTGTCAGCTACCATCATCAAGGAACTATAATGGATTAAGCTGTTAGCCAGTAGCAATCCTATTGCTTGGAGGATAATCTTATGGTACGATAAGTCAGTTCTTGCAATTAGTTATGTAAAGAAACATAAATTGCCCGATCAGCATGGCTCAGTGGTTGAATGTCACGGTTCCATTCCCATCAGGGCACATGCCCAGGTTATGGGCTCGATCCCCAGTGGGGGGTGTGCAGGAGGCAGCCAATCAATGATTCTCTCTCATCGTTGATATTTCTCTCTCTCCCTCTCCCTTCCTCTCTGAAATCAATAAAAATATATTTAAAAAAAGAAAAGTAGGGACTCTTTCCCCCTCCCCACATGGGAGTCTGTACTTGTTCTTCAATAAATTTCCACGTTTGCTAAATAAATAAGTAAGAAAGTAAGTAAATAGAAATGTATATTTTTAAAAAAAGAAAACAAAAATTAAAAAGTTTGTGAGTTCGAATGGTTTCCAAAATGGGGGGGGGGGGGGCGGGGGAGGAGACAATTCTCCACATGCCCACATTTGCTCACACACTGCAACCTTTGTAGGGCTCCTGATATAGCTATATATCTAACTAGAGGCCCGTTGCACAAAGAGATTCGTGCAATAGGCCTTCCTTCCCCTGACTGCCGGCACCAGTTTTCCTCCGGCACCCAGGACCCAGGCCTTCACTCTGGCCACAGCGGAGAAGCCAAGCCTCTTCAGCCTTCAGTCTTTGCTCCACGCCTGCATATGCAAATTAACCGCCATCTTTGTTGGGTTAATTTGCATACCCATCCGATTGGCTGGTGGGCATAGCGGAATGACACCAATTTGCATGTTTCTCTTTTATTAGTGTAGATTGTTTTCTGTCTGCTACTATAACGTATTACCACAAACTTAGAGACGTAACACAACACACATGGATTATCTTAAAGCTCTGTAAATTATCTTATAGCTCTGTCCTCGAGCTAAAATCAGTGTGTCAGCAGGGCTGCACTCTTTTTTGGAGGCTCTAAAGTGAATTCATTCCCTTGCCTTCTCCACCTTCCAGAGGCTGCCCACATTCCTTGGCTCATGGTTTCTCTCTTCACCTTCAGAGCCAGCCATGTTGCATCTCTGTGATCATTTTTCCACAGTCACATCTTTCTCTGACTTTGTTCTATTGCCTCCCTCTTTCACTTTTAAGGACTCTTGTGATTACCTTGGGCCCACCAAGAAAATCCAGGATATTCTTCCTATCTTAAAGTCAGCTGATTAGAAAGAAGCCTTAATTCCATCTGCATCATTAATTCTTTTTTAAAAAATATATTTTATTGATTTTTTTACAGAGAGGAAGGGAGAGGGATAGAGAGTTAGAAACATTGATGAGAGAGAAACATCGATCAGCTGCCTCCTGCACGTCCCCCACTGGGGATGTGCCTGCAACCAAGGTACATGCCCTTGACCGGAATCGAACCTGGGACCCTTCAGTCCGCAGGCCGACGCTCTATCCACTGAGCCAAACCAGTCAGGGCTCATTAATTCTTTAAAAAGATAATTTATTTTTTACATTGAGGTATCGTTGACATATAATATTATGAGTTTCAGGTGTGCAACAAAATTATTCCATATGTGTACGTATTGTGACATGATCACCACAATAAATCTAGTTAACATCCATCACCATACATAAGTAGAACTTTTTTTTCTTGTGACGAGAAATGTTAAGATCTACTCACTTAGTAAACTTAAAATACACAATACAGTATTATTAACTACAGTCACCATGCTGAAAATACATCCCATGACTTACTTATTTTGTAACTGGAAGTTAGTTCCTTTTGATCCCTTTCACCCATTTCATTCTCCCTACCTCTATGGCAATCACTAATCTGTTCTCTGTATCTATGAGATCTTTTTTGTTTTTATTTTTTTTCTTAGATTCCACATATGGTATTTGTCTTTCTCTGTCTTACATTTGACTTAGCATAAGGCCTTCAAGGTTCACCCATGTTGTCCATGCAACCCTAATTCTCTGCCGTGTAATGTAACATAGTCACAGGTCCCGAGGACTAGGATGTGACTTCTTTGGGGGACCATCATTCTGCCTATCATAATGAGTATGTACTTTTATATGTGATTTATATATATTATAAATTATATATATACAACTTAAATTTTTATCATCTATTGTGTTCTTACCATGTAATTATTTCCCCTAATACTCACAATAGCCCTATGAAACAGGAACTACTTTTACGAATGAGAAAACCGGGAGTTAGGAAATATACCTGGGTCCAGAGCTGGTCAGCAGCAGAGTAAGATTCAAACCCAGGCCTGTTTTCCTCTGGAGCCATGCTCGTAATCACTACACTGTATTAAAATCTGTTCAAATTGTATTTTTTTCTTTTGATTTTCTAAGGAAATGATTATCATAGTAAAATTTGATTTTTCTTTGGGAGGGATAGTCCAGGAAGTATGTATCAGTTAAAATTCAAATGAAGATACTGGTTTTTTAATTGTCTGAATGTGCTGCTTATGTTTTTCTAAATTTAATTTTATAATATCACAGATTTTTGTAACTAATTTTGACTTTTCCTATCATGCTCTAAATTTCTGAACTGTTAGTACCTCTTTTAAAAGTCAAACAGATGTAGGTTCCTCCAAAGACTGTGAGCTTTAACTTTGCTTATTTGCTGAGTTTAAAAGTAAACGAGACCCCAGGAAGTCATGTGGTTGTGTTTTTTGCTTTGAATACCTCAAATCACCATGTTTTCTTGCTATTTAGGGAAATGGTATAGGATTCTATTTTAGGCATGCAAGGAATTTTAATTTCTATGAACTTAGTTTCCAGCAGTACTTTCCTCTACCTGTTCTTCATGTGATTGTTCTCCTATGCAAATAAGTAGCAATTAAAAATAATTTATCCAAAAAAAATAATTTGTCACAGTCATGGGTTGAAATTACATATAATGAGATGAAATTTGAAAGAGGTGGTTGAAGCTAAATAACATGCCTGTAAAACTTTCAACTAA